CTACTCGCTCTCGTCTTTGTCCTGGACCGTGGTGGTGGAGTGGTTGTACAGTCCCTGCGCCATGAGGTGCAGTGCCAGGCCGTTCTTGATGCCGGTGGCTTTCTTGATCTTGGCGCGCTTGTTCTGGAACCAGATCTTGATCTGGGACTCGTTGAGACTGAGCTCCTGGGCCAGGGTCTGCCGCCGCTGCTCCGTGATGTAGCGGTTCGCCTGGAACTCCGCCTTGAGTCTCTGCAGCTGCTCGGCGGTGAACGCCGTCCGAGGCCGCTTGTCCTCCTTCTCGTTCTTCTTCTTCTTCAGCTTCCTGGTGCGCGGACCTGCAGCGGCGGGCCGGGCCGGGGGGGGGGGGGGACAGAGGGCAGAAGGGAGGGGGTTGGGGGAGAGGGCAGAGGAAGCCGTGAGAATAACGGAGTGGAGCGGGATCGCGCCCCGCGCTTCCCCGGCGATAGGGGCGATAGCGGAGGCCCTGCCGCGCCCCCTGCCCCCATACCTCCCGGCAGCGGCTAACCCCTGCATCAATCAGCGGGCCGCTGGGGTCGCCTGGTTCCTTTCTCCGGGGCCAGAAAGGCACGGAGGAAAACTGGCCGAGGTTGTCTGTGTAGCCCACACCCCAATTCAGAACAGGAGAGCCTAATGACAGGCTTAAATCACAGACTCCAAGATGGAGAGAGATTTGGAGCCCCATCCTGCCCAGGCCAAAGTTGGAGGTCAGGGGCCTGCTGCCTTCACAGCCCTGAAATAAAATGAGGTTCAAGGCTGGGGCAGTGAAGACACTCGGGCAGGACTGCCCTGCGGGAATTGTCAGTCTCCCTCCTCAGGAAGCACAACTACACCCGCACCTCCAAGAAGACCCCATCTGCCGTGGTTATTTACCCAGAAAACAAGGAGATAGGCAAGGGCTGTGAGAGGCTTAACTGGTTTCCAAGTATTCAGTGTCTGTTCTGTCTACTTTTCCTTTTTCCGATTCTCCTCTTGGCCTAAAGAAGGCCTGTATAGGGAGATCACTCCCTTCTCTAAAGAGGGAGATGAGGCCTTCACCCAGTTGCAGCCTTACCCACATGCCCCCTCGGTTCTCTGTTATGCCCCTTGGATAGTGCCGGTAAGAAGAGAGGGCCCTCCCCAGCTGCAGGGGCAGCGTCCCCTTTTCTCTTTTGAACACATCTGCTGCAACTTCTGAATAACAAAAACAAATCAGATCTGCTTTCTTTGCCCACCTATGCCATTTGCAAGGAGACTACATCCTTCCTGCCCCCCTTTACAAGCAAAATAGGGGCAGAGGGACACAGAGAGGGGAGCAATCTCAACAAAAACGTGTGCTTTGCCCCTGAGATGGATATGGAAGGAGGCCACAGGACACTTCCCCGGAAGGTGAAGTCTCCCTCCAAACCTGATCTGGGAAGAGGGCTGCCATGGACTCAGCCTGGAGAGAGGAGCGAGGCAGCCCATGAAGCCTGCACCTCTGTCCATCAGCCTCTGTGCCCAAGTCTGCTGGCATCTACCGCCTGGTCCCTGTCTTGGTTATGGGAGCTTACTGAGCCCAGTGAAGACCCTGACAGGCCTGTTAACCTCTAAAATTGTCTGGAAAGAAGGGTCTTCACCGGTGTCTCCAAACCTAGCGACAAAGGGATAAGCAGCAGTGGGCTCCTGGGCAGGCCAAGGCCTGGAGTCACCAGCTACCCTGTGACAAAAGAGTCTAGGCCTGGCCAACCACAGAGACTCAAGTGGCTTAAGGTTCATCTCCCTCAACTGTCCACGCAGGAGCAGGAGCCAGTACCCTGCCTCCTTGTCCCCTAAGAGGGACCGAGGCCAAGAACAAAGACGAGGCCCACTACCCAGCAGGGTGAGAGAGGAATGGGAGGCAGGCCAGGAGGGAGGAAGGCCTTGATTTAGATTAATAATTCTCGGAGCAGGCAGGGATGGCCCAGGAAATGTGGGCATCCCAGAAAGGCCCCACTGTGTTGTGTGTCCAGGACGTTGTTAGTGTAGTGTGTGCCCATGTGTGTGCCCATGTGTGTGCCTGTGTGTGTGTGTGTGTGTGTGCGCGCAGAGGCACAGACACTTGTAATAAAATCGTAGCCTTTTGGCCAGCCCGAGCTGTAGGGCCTGACAGCTCAATCACTCTATCCATCAGGCGAGTCAATCAAAGCAGCTTTTCGGAGGTTCAGGGAGCCCAACGTGTCAATAACCGGGCTGAGATGGCAGGGGCTGATAGCACGCATCGATCCGCGCTTGGCCAGCACTGGCCATTGCAGCGGGAGTAGAGCGGCCTATGGCTATGCTTTTGCCCAGCCGCCTGCCGGGCCCGGGTGCCCGGAACCCAATCCCAGGCCAGAGCCCCTGCCGGCCACGCGGGCGCTGCCAGCCAGAGAGGCAGGCCGGCCTTAGCTTCCTCTCCTGGGCCTATTGGCCGCAGTCTCCTCTCCTAGGACAGGTCTTGGCCTTGGATCCTCCAAGCGAAGGTATACGAGGAAAAGGGGCCAAAGGAAAGTAAAAAAAAAAAAAAAAAAAAAAAAAAAAAAAAAGTGCGGGGGCTAGGCTGGCGGAAGTCTGCTGACCGGCAGATGTGCTGTGCGGTAGGAAGGAGTTGATAGGAAGGAGTTAAGCAAGGAAGATGTGCAGGCCGACGGGGAGAAGCTGTGGAGGCCGCCTCTAAGTCCTCTGCCTGGCTTTCTGGCCTAAGCCCGACCTGTCCTCCCTTCTCCCACTGTCTGTCCGTCAGCGTCAGCTTCGGAGAACCAGGAGCCAGTGGCTCTCGTAACGCGCCGTTTTGTCTACGGCCTTTCCCTAGCTTCTACCCACCCGGGTTAGATTCTCTTTGCTACCCGGCCTGGGGAAGAAGGACAGCGATCAGACGCTTTTCTCTTTTCCTGTGCGTCCTCAAATCTGTCCCTATGTAAATGCACGCTATGCAGAAACCATCACGATGGTGTTTGTGTCTGTAAGAACACCCAGGGGAAGGTTATTTCTCTGGTCAAAGCCTTGCTGGATTTCGGCCTCTGCAGGACCATGGTGGCGGGATTGCAGACCCCAATCATTAGGCCCACCTTCCCGCCGGCTCTAAATACCTCTTTTCCTGGAAGGAAAATCAATGACTGACTGTGTCTTTCCTGATAATAATAATAAAGGCAAAACACAAAGAAGACCCCAGAGGCTCGGAGTTCAAAATCAAAGGATGGAGACTCGAGCTTCCAGTGCTGTAGCCTCCGCAGAAGCCAGGAGCGCAAAACTGGGTGCACACTCGGTTGTGCCTGGGACCAGAGCTGAGAAACAAGCAGCAGGCGTGAGAGAGGAGAGCGCCCGAGGCCGGGATTGCTCTCCCCAACGCCGCGGCTAAGAGTCCTGGTGCATCCGCGGGGCTGGGTACTCACCGGAGGACGGACGATCGGAGTAGCGTGTGCAGTAGACCCAAGCGGGCCACACGAGAGGCTGCTGCGAGTCCGTTTTGACCACGGGCCCACCGTTGGCTGCGCCCATAAGCAGGATGGCTGGGTTGCCGTGCTCCGGATACTTGGCACCCTGCGCACCGGGGCTCCCCACGCCGCCTCCACTGCCGCCGCCGCCGCTGTCTAAGGCTTGGC